TATAAACGATTATTAATCCATGATTTATTAACAATCGTAATTAACGATTCGTAAATCAAGGGCCAAGGCCAAATAATATTTCACGCAATGCAATGCACGAAGCACTAGATCGAGTTATTCAAGTAATAAAACTAATAAAGAATTATCATTATAATGCAATATATATACATACATACAAAGAGATATTTTATCGTACATCTTAACTTCGGGTGTGTTGCACAGTATCACGCGCGACCGTAATTATTTCTCGTGCATATAAATGAATACAATATTAAAAGAAAGATATCTCAAAAATTGTACAGTGACTAGGAGAAACTTACCTCTGGCATCTTTTCTCACATATCTGATATATTTCTTAAGCAATTTATTTAACAAAAGACATGTAATTACTTTAATCAATCTATGAAAATTATCTAAATTGTATTTGTGCCATAAAATCGTGCTATAAAATTAATAATTTCGATGTTTTACTTCTTAATCAAGGAATATAAAATATAGTGTTTGATTTTTATGTCGTTATAAATGCGAGAGCGTGCATTTTTTAACGCAGTTTGTTTTGTACCATTACATTCTTTTTGAGCCATATTGTAATTTAAACATATGATGATTTCTGCTTTATGGAATTTTTAAGACAATATCAATGTTATTTTTGTAATTGATGATATCTCGCAAACTAGTCGTCTGAGATAAATAATTTTACTTATTAGAAACGCGAAAGTCTCTCAGCTTTTAAGATCAGTTCGCTACGATTTTTCTATGCAAAGATAACAAAAATTATATTATGATCTAGATAAAAAATTTTAGATAAAACTTACGTTAACTTACGTAATTATTGAATCATAAGCAAAGTAATGGTCCACGAATAAGTTACGAATCGTCGGATCAAGAAAGATTGAAGAAAGGCGCGATTAATTATACTTTAAAATAAATAAAAAACACATTTTATAAATATTTAAAAGTAATATAATGTTAACGCTCTATTGACGACAAAAATTATATCGAAAAATGTAAAAATTTCTCACAAATCGAATATGTTGTAATAGACCATGCAAATTAATTTATAATGTAAATAATATTTTACAGATATTTTTTTATATGAAACGTTGAAGTGGAGACGTGCTTGATGAAACCAAATATCTTCTGATAGGCTTTATAAACGGGAGTGCCGTACAGTATCGCGCGAAAGATTTTTATTGATAATTAGTTTGTGCGCGGATTGTAGTCTATTATCCGCGAGTGTCTTGTGCAACGAGAGAAGGAAGAGGAGGAGGAGATTTGACAACCCAAACGTCCTGAGAAGAGGAGGAGGTCTGGGAGAGACATCAGGCCCCGGCGGAGCAACCTTGGGGTGAGTATCGTTTCTTATCTGCAAAATTAATAATATAGTTCTTTCTCATTTATTTGAGCCGTTTTATCTTGATAAATTAGAAATAATTAGAGAAAGAAAAATTATCTAAAATTTTATAAAAATATATTCTTGTAAAAATCTTTTTTAAAAATAGATAATTGTATTAATAAATACCTAATTGAAAGACGAATTAGACGCGTATAAAAATTATTATATTTTTTGAAGTATTGATCATTTTGAGCACCTTTTTAATTTGAATATTTGTATGTTACAGTATCATCGTAGCTATGTGGCTGAAAAACTCCGCCCGTTGCGCATCGGATCGGTGAGTCAGAAATTTTTTTTATGTGATTTATGAGAACTCAGAATTATTATCGCGATCTTTATGCGCATGATGCTTGATTAAATATATATTAACTCGATTGTATTTCGAATAGCTTTTCCACATCTCTAGAAATAATTGAGACTTTATTATAATGTGATTTACAATACCAACAACAATCAATGACTTAATGATAATTTAAATACAAATACAAAACGCAACTATTGTACTTAAATGAATTATGTCGCTTAATTCTTATTTACTCTGCAAGAAATGGTCGAATTAAATACATTATTCCAGCAATTTTTTGCAGACCAAGTACAATATTTGCTTTTTTCTTTCAGTCTATACTGCCGATTTATAAAAGGTTCTTTGCTTAAGGCATTTATTCGGTGGTATTACTAAATTTTGGTGGATTATTAAAAGTCTCACGTTTACTTCAATAATCTAACTAGTCGCCATTTTGCTTTTGGTTAATAATCTTATCTAAAATTCTACCTACATACGTATCGGTAAGTGTCGAATTGTTGAATACAAAAAACGATTCGCATTCGATTCGATATTTAAAGTAAATCATGACATCGTCGCAGACAACGAGCTATCTCGTGCCGATGATAAATTATTTGCAGGCAGTGTTTCATTTTTACTGTCTTTTCCAATCGAAAACCTTCACATCGATTTACTACGTAAAGGGGCGAGGTAATGTCTCCTTTATTTACATCGGTTTTTACATTGCGCTAATATGCTAAGTTTGCATTTGAATTTTATCGCGTTGAAAGATTTTAATGATCATTTTTAATGTTGGTCAAAATGATTTGTGACATTAAATCGTTAATAAAAAGTGTCAGCAGATTCTATAAGATACGTAAAAAGGTTTTATCTTTATGCGTTTGAAAGTCTCGAGAAATAAAATTTGTAAAACTTTATACATAAGACGTCCAATACGTATAATTAAAGCGATATAGCTTATTATAATTTCACTTGCTTAGTTCGGCACAATTTAAGTTATTTTGCATTAGTCTCTTGCAGATGTAATGCAAATATATTTAGAAATATATTTCAAAAAGTAAGTATGCCTTCGCTTACTTTTTTATCGTGTTTATTTTGCAACTAAACAAGTAAAATTATAATAAAGTTATATCGCGTTAATTATACGTAGAGAACATCTCATGTATAAAGTCTTACAAACTATTCTCCGTTAAAACTTTTTTATGTGAAGGAAGGTATACTTATTTTTCGAAATATATTTACATATTACATCTGCAAGAGACTAATGCAAAAAACTTAAATTGTGCCGATAAATCTTTTTACATCAGAGCGATGCGCAATATTTCTAATTATAAATTCGAAATATTGAATATATTTCAAAAAATAAGTATACCTTTGCTTTCGTCAAAGAAACATCGTTAATCCCCCACAAAAGTACTTGGAATAAACTTAAGTTTTCTTCTAAATGTACAGCTTTTTCGACAATATTTGCAATTTTTTTATTTTTTGTTATTTGCATTTATCGATAAATAGTATGACTATTCTTGATACATTCAAAGAGTAGCATGTGCTATCTTTTGTTCCATATATATATATATATATATGTATATATGGTTTAATCGCTCATATACGTTTATAAGTACGTATAGATTCTTAATCAAGTAGACATTCCAATTACTTTTTTTACATATACAAATAGGAGGTTCTTTTGCTAACCTCTAATGGAATCTTGAAAGAAGAGGAATAAAGCTTTTGAAACGAATGCTTTAGAGAATCTCATATTGCCGTTTGAGGCAAATAATAATCCATCGGGCTACATATTAATTTAAGCGAATGAAATTGGTGGATTCTATTGTTTTAGAATACGCGAATAATTGTTTTATGTATGTGAGCACACAGTTAGCAACAATAGCATCAATTTTTTGTTTTAACATGGCTATTCATTAAAAAATGTTTCTTGATATAAATTCTTGAAAAACTTACTTACTATTTATCATGGTCTAGCGATATACGCAATTTTATCTCGCTAACTATATTTTACGGCACAAATCAAAATTATCGTAAAAAGAATTTTTTAGAATCTCAATTCCCATAAGATTACAAAATAAATATGTTGTTAAAATTAAAATTGTATATAATATTAACAAAATTTTAAAGGTTTAACGTTTTGAAATGTAAAGTAAATATATTTAAATGTAAATGTAACATGAAACATAGAAACATGACACTTGAATGATGAAAAAATGAAAGAAAATTTAAGGAAGATTTTTGGTCAGAGATCTAAGAGAGAGAAATTAAAATATTACAAATATAAAAAGAGATAAAATCTAATCTACATCTTTAAAACAATGAATTTTAGCAATTGGATAAGTTGTATATATAAAGTGTTACTTCATATATAAATCTTTTTACATCAGAGCGGTGCGCAATATTTTCTAATTATAAATTCAAAGTATAATATTTTCACACATTAAAGTCTTGCGAGAAATCGGATTCTCTTTATAAGAACAGTGCATATGAAACGGCGTTATCGGTCTCATTAGCGTTTCCACTCTCAATCATCTTGATACCTTCTTTCGCTAAATAGAAAAAAAATTTCTTTTTACGTACAAAAAAATTATATTCCACCAACACGTAACGCGCCAAATTAATGTATATGCATCGATTCCATGTTTCTTGTTTCAAAGCAGAAATGCCACTTCAGTTTCTTGATTATTCCAGTGAATTCTTCGATAATATAGTGTGGCTTTATGTAAGTCTTCTAGTCGCTTCTGTATTTAAAAATTTCTCATTTCTGTATAATTATTTTTTTCACAATAATCCAAATAAAAAGTTTACACGTATTTTACAATAAATGTAATATGGATACAAAAAATCAGTACATATTATTAATTCAGATTTGTCGTAGTTAACTTTACAAGGCCGTTTTTACATTATTCTATCTGCATAATGCTAAATAAAAATAATGCGATTAATTAATTTCCCTTACTATGCCATCGTTGAAACAAAAGTTTCTTAAAAAATATCACAAATAACTTATTTCTAATAACGATTCGAGATTTCAGAAAGAAATGAGAAATTATTGAATAAAATGCATTTCTTAACAAGAAGAACGTCGCTTTTATATCTTTTATCTGTTATTATTTATATTGTATAAAACTCTGCGATATTAAAAGAGTGAGTTCGGATATCTATATTTATTGTGCATTCCTAGGCTTTCTTTATGAAATGTAACAATGACGTGAATATATATATTTAAGACGTTACACATTGATCTTCGTATCAATGAGCTCTTGAGTTTGAGCAAACAATTGCAATTTAAACGTATATCCTTCTTTCTCACAAAGTACATATTTATTCGACACGTAGTGTTATGTCCTAAGTGTATCGCACATCTTGGAGTAATCTTGACAAATTATTTTAAAACGTTTAAGTAAAATTTCTTTAATGACGACTTGACTTTGAAAGTTAATTTCTGAGTGAAAAGGAATACTTCAGTTTGGATTCTCTGCTTTTAATATCCGGATTCAATATGCATTTATATATTCGGAAAAAACTGTAAAGGAAACTACACAAAGTGACATGCTCAAGATTATAGCGCGAACACTCACGCTTGAATAATTAATCGTGGAAAACTGGGTTGGATGCGGGCGCGAATGACGTTAACACTCGCAGAGTGCTTCGCCGTGATTAAATATCTACATGTATATCGTCGAGAGCGGCGCGATTAGTATCCTCGTTGGTGCCGTAATTAATTTCCGTAATCGATCTCGTCGCGACGAGAGCTAATCGCGGTGTGTCGACACACGCTTCGTGTACGCTCGCCTCGGAGCAATGGAATTCGCGTTTGCCTGCTGTCGCACCCATGGTGAGTTCAAACTTTTCTTACGCGAATCGAAGTAATGACGGCGACGACAGTGATGTACAGTGATGAACATTTTAATTTGACGACGTGCTCGTTAATCAGCGTTTTATCACGGTTCCATATCTCGGACGAGATCTGGCAGGCTTTTAAAGTGCGCGAATTCAAAGCGATTCTGTCGATCGTATCGATGATAATAGCTTGTTCTTCCGTCTGTCGTTACGTCGTCGCGATTGTCCTCCTCCTCGGTGCGCGAAACTCGCCCTCGTGCCAGCGAGGATGCGACGTGGTCTCGCAGATATCGGTGCATAGACGACGGATATTGTGCCCGATAGTTTTGGAGCATCGGATGCCGGCTTGCCGCCACGCTGTACTAACTGGCGTCGTCCGGAGATCCGAAATCCTCCGTCTGCGTGGCGGCATCTTTAACTGGAAATTACCATCGACATTTATTATAAAATTAAAAATAAACTGGAATATGTGTTAGGTGAAGAGTTCGCGTGATAATTGTGAAAATCGATTCAATTTTAAGATAAAAGCTTTTCCCATTTATTCTTTAACTTAAGAATAATTGATGCATATGCACATTTTCGTTAATGGAAAGCTGTTTGCAAATTAATTAAAGATATTAAATATTAATACCGCGGTGTTGTGTGTTGACAGATTCTACATAACGTATAGAACAACATAGATAGCAGTGAATAATAGAGTAAAAGCATATATTTATGCGGTGTATGTACCTCACGTGGATGCTACGTCACCATGTGTTACATGTCCGGTTTCCCAAGGGAGCGGTGGTGGCGTATTCGCTAATGATAACGAGGAACAACGCGCCATTGAGCATCGTTCCATTGAGCAACGCTCCAAACCTGAAATAAAAACTCGAACGATAAATAAAAGTCTCCCTTACTGATTACGATAATATTCGCTATTAACGGGATTATATTATATAACGTATAATAATTACTACGCGCAGCGTAAACTACTGTTTTGGACAATAAATTCGAAGCGAATGTGCGAGCTAATTCGTTTCGGCTTTGTTTCAATCGGATCGATAATTAAATATCGGGACTAAATACCTTAATGCGATATTTGGGGGGCGATCATTGCTATACGATAGAACTACAAAAGAATACTATTTATTTTCAAGTGAAGATATCGCGTTTATTCTTTTTATTTTGTGTAGATTAAAAATAAGCTTATTATTAGAAAAAGAAAAATATGATTTTCTCAATGTAATGCACTACTCTTTTTTTTTCTTCTATGCAGCTGAAAATTAATAACACTGTTTTATTTGATATTACAAAACAAAAAATTATGACAAAAATTGATTTATAAAATGTTCCTCTATTAATTTTTGCTCTAAGATGTTAATACGTATATTACTCGATATTAGCATATTAATTTTAATACACTCTCTAAATCTGAATCAGTGAATAGTCAGTGAATAGTCAGTGAATAGTCACTAATTCAGATTTAGAGAGCATACAATGTAATAAAATTACTTTGGTAATAAAAAGAAATTTAACAACTTTGTCTTTCCAGCTTTTACTTCAGTTCAAAACTGTGAAAGTTAAGAACTTTATCTAATAAGTAATAAAAAAAACTAATAGTAATAAGAATCAAATTATACTAGATACCTATTATACCTATTATGCTTAAATGTTTCGCAATAGTACCAAATACGAATGCCAAATACGTTATAGAGTAATCAATAACAGCAGTCATAAGTACGATACGATATGTGATTTTAAACATGATTACAACGCAGTTCGCATTTATACGTATATATGATGACGCTGATTATCCTAGCGATCATATTAAATCTTCGTTTATGGATGTCACATAGAGCGCGAGAATCCAGTTAATGTTGATAATGGATGCCGTCAAAAGGCTGATTCCCCTCGGTTTAATTAGCACAAAACACTGATTATGTTAATCCCCTCGCTGCCGGTAGATCATCAATATGAAGGCAACCAGATGAACTTTGTCGTAATTAACATGATAGGTATTATATGTTCAAAGAGTGTGGGAAAAGCCATTGTTAAGGGATTATTTTTTATTTAATAAATCTAATCTTTTTTATTAAAAAAAGATTGCGTAAATAAATTACAAAAATGTTTTAAATTATTTGTTAAAAAAGTGTTTTTAAATTTAAATACACATTTCTATTGCTGTTTGATTTATATTACTACGCAATGCCCGTACGTATGAAATTTATTGCGTAGAAATTTTTCGAATTGACTGACTTCTTTTTTAACAGGATATGATATTCGTTTAATGTACCTGATAGGTCGATGCCTGCGATGCTGCAAACATCTAAGCCACCGGTGCTAGTGGCGCAGCAGTGTTGTTTCGTTCCTAACGGCTTAGACCTGCACAGAATCTGCATATAAAAAGGAAATTAAAGTTATCCGAATTATCAATCATGACATGCATCGATGGTTGAATAATGCTTGTCAGTTTGCGAACGATAATACATCAATCGCCTCAAGTAGGAATAGATTTTATAAGCTTTATTGATTACCTGTGTGGTAAGGTTGAAATATTTCCCGTGAGAATGGATAATAAATAGTCAAGATATCTTAAAGCTTCTTGGAAATCGAACAGCACCACTATGTACTCATACATGCATTTCATTTATCAGATTAACGTAAAATAGTTTCTAATTGTATAAGCAATATACATTGCTGCGCTTTCATAAACTTTGCGGTACGATGTTTCGGAATAGAATGCTTGAAATGCAACGTTGGTCCTCAAGGAATACAGCTGAATATGCAAATGTACATTTAGCAAACTATTTCCTACATATATAGTATTGTACCGTGAGTTAAAATAACAATATATCAATCGTTTAGGATGTTGGAATTTATCTGTTTCATAGCAGCATATTATTAAAGTGTTACTTCTCTCTCTTTCTCTCATTCATTATTAAAAATAACTTTTCTATAATAGTCTTATTTTTATAATAACTTTTCTGAAAACTAGAATCTCTTTCTCTCTTCTCTTTTTAAAGAAAACAATAAAATTTATACAATAATTATTGAAAATTATCTTTACATTTTATAAAGTGATGTAAATTCTGTTTCGTTATACTATTTAACTTATGTATATTTTTTACATTATAAGTCCATTATACGCAAAGCATGTTTTATGTTATTCCAAATATAATTTAAAAAAATATAAATTAAACAGTACTTGCGATTCGTACATCTCTAACATAAATTATTTTATATAAATTTCATAGGCAATATCTAAGCCAGTAAAAACTAGGATTTAACCGCAATATCCGACAAATTCCCAAGGTACTTACTTTATTAAGAGCATACTCGAATCTATGTAAAGCGATTTTCGTAAACTGGTCGATCGCTTTACCAAAACGTTAACACGTACAGGATATTGCAACTTACTATCATAAAATAGATGCCATAAATAATGAAATTATATGTATATATAAGAGATTAGGAGGTATTTGTATAATTCTTTAATTCTTTTTATGTTCTTTATTATTCTTTAATAGTCACTCGCATATATCCGTTAATAATAATAAATTCTTTGTCGAGTGTAAACTCGATTTGTCTTAATTAAAGCTTTAAGCTAAAGTATTTTTGTGATTTTTTTTTAATATCAGACAATAATTATTTGTAACAAAACCTGATATTAAAACCGAAAAAATAACATATAAAGATTAATTAGTATCTGCAAACAATTCTAGTACTGAAACTTAAATGTGCACTTAATTGCCATCTTGCAATTTCGTAATTTTACTATTCACAATAATTCGCCAATTAATCAATTTTTTGCAAACACAATGAGCAAATCTTTGATCCACGTGATACACACTCTAAGCGTAGTGATCTTTATACTTCAAACAAACAAACTTATTTGTTGTTTGCCAATCGAAAACCTGCGTAAGCCAATTGTAAAGAAACATCAAACGTGCTGTACGAGTATATTTTACTGTACTTGCATGTAGTTCTCGCATCCGGTGAACGTAGAGAGGAGGCCGCGGTGCACTTCGCGCGGCGATTAAAGATTTACTGCACGCCGACAAGCTTTTCGGAATTCATGACCTGTAAAGTCGAAGCGCCAAGATCTATGTGGCCGCGGCCGTGCTACGCGACGTACCGCCGTTCTCCCTCGTTCCTGCTGAATCCGAAAAGAGAATTCAGCGAAGAAGAAAGGACCGACCGCTGAATCTGTCGCGGAAAGTATCAGACACGCTGCGTAACGCGTTTTGCACCGGATAAATCTTGTTTTCCCGGCAGGTGCTGTCGCGTTCCATCGTGTTTTCCTGGGAAGATCGCGTTAAGTCGTTCGTCTTCATTCATTCGCCGGCGACGTGAACCGCCATCCTCTTCGAGAAATTTACTGATTTTGTTGTAACACCGAGTGCACGATTGATTTCGCGGAATAAAAGAAGTCAAGCATAAAATCGGAAGACGGAAAATGCGGAACTGTGATGTAACGAAAAGATAAAACGAATGGAAGAAAAGGAATCGAGTAAATGAAAGAATGCGTTCGCTTTACGAACTTATTGAATCTTTCTAATCGTATACATTTTCCATTTACCGTACCCACTTTTCTCCTGTAGCTCATATTCCGCATATCGCTATCTTATTTTTTGATTCATATTTTGCTATATCCAAATTTACTTGAGTTATAACACGAAATGCTGCATTTTTAAATGTAAAACTTTTTATCAATTATAAATTGTTAATTATAAATCACAATTATTATAATAAATTATTATTAATCATAAATTATATAATTATTATACTAATACGCATTCTGATGCGTGAAAAAGGTTTTTACCTTATAAGTCTTGAGATTTCTTTTATGAAACAGAAAGCACGAGCTTTTATTCCACTTTTGTTCGGTTGGAGGGAAAAAATTATTTGTGAGTTGGGAAGTGCTGCACTAGGTTCAACTTTAATGGACGTTTGAAAACACGCATCCACGAATTTCCACTCTGATATAACAAGGTTTACGCGAAGTGTTTACCTTGTTCGTGTAAAATAGCGTTGGCTACGTTGTAATACACAGTCTAATGTAATTCACAAAACCTAGATCTAGTCTTTGGGTTAGATCGAAGAAGCAGAAGCTAAATAAATTCGATTATTCTGAAATAATGAAACAAAAGCATAAAACTCGCTTTTTGTTTGTATTAGAAAATAAAAATTTTAATTACACTAGGATACAATTCTTTCTCGATTTGAAATTTTACGTCAAAAGACAAATGAAATTTTATAATTGCATTTTATTTTTTATAACTCACTTTTTTATTGCTTTGTTCGTATTTCTTTTTCAATATTGTATTTTATTTATCATCGTGATAAACAAAGGGCTCGTTAACATTAATTAATTCGAAATGTAAACATTTATACCTTACCTTAGTGTAAAGAAGCTCTCTCGAAATTCGGCGGAAATGATTGTTGAGCAGCCAATAAAGGAAAGGATTCCAGAAGCTGTTGGAGAGAGCCAGCCACGTAGCTAGGAAGTCAAGAAACGGTGGTGGCTTGCTTCCGGTGCAGGCTGCAACAACTTCCTGAATCGTCCATGGCGTGACCATGACGATGAAACCTAAACTCATTGCAGCCATTGTCCGCGAGGCCGAGGTCGACAATCGTCTCTCGTGAGCGACAAGCTGAAATATGTAAGACGTTTTCTCTGTAGTGTTTTCACTTCGTTTAGAAGTTTAGATGACATTTGAGCGAACCTACGAACTCAAGTTCAATACACTGTGAATACTTACATACATTTACACATCATGTATGTATATTTACAAACACATGTTTTTGTAAATATACGAGCAAGGAACATTTCAAGAAAAAGTGGAAGCAAGGTACCACCTAATTCAAGAATATCTTTTAAATGCTTTATGCAATCTTGCCTGTAAAAAAGATATTTTTCATTCGCAGAATTGGAAGGCGGCGTAATATTTAGTTTAATAAAATAAATCTTAATTGGATATTTTATGATACTACTAGCTTAAAATCCACTTTTATAATTTGTGTCAAAATTCAGGATAGAATTCTACATACATATTTGATATATATAAAAAAAAAAAAACAGAATAATTAGAAGTAAATATACACGTAGAATAGAATATATATTAAAATGAGAAGCATATAAATCGAAATACGGTGAATTATAGATCGTTTAAAAGGGGTTTAAGTATGACGACACATCTCGTCATACTTAAAAATATCAAGATCAAATAAAATATAACGGAGGAATTTATTTTTAACAGGATACCGACATTTAATTCTTCATTAAGTATTCTTCTCAGAAGGTGGAACTCATCTCCTTAATAACTCTTTCGACTGATGAATTTTTGAATAGAAAGTTGAGTTTAACGTCGCGCACCGGCTTGATTACTGTCGAGTTTAAGACTTTGGCGCTCATATTTAATTACAGCGATCATACCGCGAATGATATTTGAGTGAAAGATTAAACAAGAGTATTTTTTTTCTTATTAGAAGCCCGAGAAATGTCATAGAAAACTTAACTTTTAAATTCTACTTCCTATCTTTAAGTATCATTATGACCTTGCAAATAACGTTCTTAAAGTTCAAATTTTATTCCATAAAGAAGTTTTAAGTACACGGTACGGTAGACGTCTTTTACGATCACTATCGACATCCCAAATCTATAACGCCCTATCTTTCGATACTCGCTAACGCAATTGTTCGGAAGAGTAACGGCCGCATATTATCGATATTTCCTTAAAAGCCCGCTGATCCGTCTCGAGAACTTTTGTGTTTCAATTACTTTTACAGTTCTCTAGATGATTACATTTCACAGTCGAGTCAGATTACTTTTTTTTTTCAATAATACGTTGTGTTAATTAACACCATTCTAATAAGAAATGAAAGCACGTTTCCGTTCATTGTGAAGCAAAGTGACATTCTCTGGGGGAAATAAAAGGAGAAAATTAAGATATCTTTGAAGGATGAAAGAGCGACATTTACAATTGAACAACTACATCTACAATAATAAAATAAGATTTTTGTAACTCAAAGAAAACGTGTGACGCTTCGTTGAGCGGTAAATCTCTCACGCCGCAGTCTCGGGGCTATATAATCTCGAAAGCAGACGTAATGTCAGAAAAGATCCGTACGAATGGCTCTTAACGCGCGAAAGGCTTGCCGACGCGTCTCAGTCTCGACTCGTCCTTTAGGCCGGCTTGACACGGTTACGAAAGTCACTAAGCGCTAAGCTCGTCAGCATCAAAGCCTCTCGTCGTGCGGCAGTAAAAGGATTACGAATCTGCTCGTTTAGCTGGATTCGCGTCCACTCCCTTTTGCCTCTTCTTTTTCCCTCCGTTCTCTTTCGCATCCCCTTCTACGCGGCATCTTCTATATGTAAGCTCTCTTCAAAAGTCTCGGGATTACAACGGTAATGGACGAGTATGAACCCGGTAAATGTAGAATTTCTCAAACGTCCGACGAAACCGATCAAAAAGATACGCTTGTTGAAATGGTTTCGTACTGAATGAATAAAATATTACTACTGAATGTGTAAATTACTTTGACATAAAGAAAGAAATATTATAAGAATCACATCCCTTGAGTAATATTCCCTAAGGCTAAAGGCACTTTGTCTTATTCGTTAATAGTTTATCATTTTCTTTTTATCTGAAAGTTGGAATAGATTAAAGCAGAGGATCGTGAGACATACTCGGGAAAGGCGGGGAAGAAGAAGACAAAAATCTAGACGGAAATGCCGTTCGAGCCATTAGCATATCATGCCGGCGGCGCGGTGCTGGCAGCGGAAAGGCAAAGCGCGAGACAAACTATTCGGTCGAAGTATTAGCATTCCGGTTCGATTTATCGTCCTAACTTCAGCGGGCAGGAAATCCCGGTACTCTCTTTAACGTGGCATGTATCTCGTACATGTGCCGTACCGCGACTATTCTTGCTGAGCTTATAACTCGTTAAACTTTCACTGTTACCACCGCTCTGTTATAATGCAATAGAACTTTCGCCCCAATGGAATAAGAATCTTTACCTCGAGCTATCAAAACTCGCAATCAACTATTCAGCACGAATTGTGCAAATGAATGCAACTCTGTTAATGTAACTCTCCCTTTCTCATCACGGTATATACATACATACATATTTTAAGGACATTTTCGAGCTTCTCTTCTCACGGATTTTATGATACAATTTACGTAAAATAACTTTTAGAAGAATTCAAAAGTCTTGTCTATGCTGATGCTAAATATTTACTCCAGAGATTCTTATCCTTAAAATAAAACTATAAAAAAAGTATATCCTTTGATAATGTTACGCGTAAAGCATGGACCTTCAAAAATAGATTTTGTAGAATTTGATTTTAAGCCAACTTAAACGGACTATAGTTTATCTGCTACGAATAGGATTTATAAGGCTACGAAACACAATGTGCATTGCAGAGATCATGATAATACTACTATTATACTTCACATCAAATGTTTTTTACTTCATCAAATGTGTCAACTATTTTATCGATCTATATTTCTCAACGTTATGCATTTCGAGTTTATGAGTTTCCGCAAATATGGAAATTATCATTGTTATATAGTTTCAGTAGAAAATTGAAAGGCTTTTGTTTTTTTTTTTAATTAGCATAATGTGTAAAGTACAAAATATGTTAATTTGCATCCCAAAATCTCACGCTTTAATTTCCTTTTTATATATCGATGATATAACGAATGAGAAATTGCAAGGTTTATGCTATATATGTCAATTTACATTGTTGTAGTGCATAAGGGGAACATATGTAAGAAAGCTAAAGATTTATGGTTTTAAGTAAACAACCATAACAAAATAAATAAGCTTTTAATGCAGTTTATAATCCCAAGAATAATCGCATTATCACAGGAGATGGCGCAACATAGTGTGGAGTGTTAAATTTATATATCTCTCCACATGCCATTCGCAGAATGCGCGCATTTACAACAATGCAGACATTGTTTCCATCGTAATTATGCAAGGTGTTACCATTTTGGGGCAATCCGCGTGATATGTGGATGTGCATTAAAGAGATTATCTACGTATCAAAACGCTCGCATATTATCTATTCTTCTTAGATAAAATCATTTATAAAATTGTTTTTTAAACATTTTATAATTGTATTAAGCCCTCTTTATTTTCCGAATATTACATATCGTACATATAAATATAAATAATAAAATTAACGTTCCTGAATTCTTACGTGAATTATAGGTTGTGGAGTAAGATTTATGCATGAGGTAAAAAATGTAGTATTATTTAATAAGAGAGAGAATCAGTATTATGTACATAGTCCACTTTTGAAACAATCATTATCTAATGAAACATAAACTCGAATAAGAATGGTACTTACATGTAAAATGATTTTACGTTTATTACACCGATATTTACGAACGTTCCAATTAAAATCTAATTATCAAACGTATTATTATTTAGTTACTACGTATAGTTGGTGCATCATATAGAATTTTCGGACGTTAAATCAGGAACGGCAGCATAGGAAATAATTACGCTTGATAATTAAATACACGTTAATGAGGGTCGTATGTTTAATGAGTAACGTTCGATCTCTCCTTTAATGTGAAATAATATTTCTACAACAGGTTACATATTGTTGATACATGACCATTTAATGTTACGCGAGTACTTTAAAGGTAACAAACTTTACAAATATTATACAGCTTGCCGCTTTTTAAAATTTTCTTTCCTTTCTACAGTGCGCCGTTATAGTAGGAATTTTTCCCGTTCGTGAAAATATTTTTGGTAAAGATAGAATTTTGATTAAATAATTTTGGCGGTAATGGTAAACAATTTTATTAAACACATTTTATTCATTAAAAAGATTGTAAATGTAGCATCTAAAAATATTTATTCGTGTTACCTTCTGTCAGGTGTCATTAATTTTAAACAAAATGTAAAGATATATTCTGAATCTCTTCGTGGACAATTTACCTCTTTAAGTTTATTTACGCGATATCACTATCATGGAATATTTTTCGATGCCGGAAATGAGTGTTTCCGTTGAGGTTCTTTCTACAAAGTTTCGAATATATATATTCGCGCCGGCGAGACTTACGAGGCACTTTCAGGTAAATTGCGCTTAAATTACAAGTAAACGATGTGGATCAGGGTGCGAGTGGGTGGAACTAATAAAGGACTCCAGCACACTTGTTCCTTTTTTTGTCGTTGCTGTATTGCGATGGAAGTAAGCTGACGGTAGCTCGTGGGTGCGCCGTTCTTATCGCCCTACTAGAGTCTCGGTGGTTACGCACGAACTCTCACCGTCGCGCGTCGTGAGGGTCTTTCTTCCTAAACGCGCGAGAAAAAATAAATAAAATCTCATAAACGCCGGCCGCTCCGAAAAACATTATTGCTGTTGGTGTACGCCGCCTCTCGGAAAAAGGATTTTAAGTGGAAAATGCTTTTCCATCGCGAAAACAGGTACCGGCACCTTGACACAAAGATTATAACATCTCCCGCAGGCGCAATCTCCTTGCAAAAATCTATCTTGTCCACACTGCAGGAAACACGTACCATAATGTGTGAGAGGGACTTTTGGTACTTTCCATTTACTTTCTGTAAAACTAGAAATCGCATTATATTCTGTCGCTGAAATGCTCTGCTGCTAGAAACATCTAATTTGCTAAGT